CCCCAAAACCCCAAAACCCCAAAACCCCAAAACCCCGAGGCAAGTTTGGATATTTGAAAAGCTTCTATGGAGTTTATTTTTCGGGAATAGGCTTTGGCTTTAAGATCTTTGGAGGGGCTATAGTTGTGTGGGGGTTTGTTTGAGCTTTCTCAGTCATTGTTCTTGGTTTGATAGTGTCAAACATCTCTAGGGTATGCTCAGTTTGGAAGTCTGTATGATTATTTTTGACAAAAGCTAATTAATTTACTTACTTATGTTGCTGAAAGATGGAGTTTTTGTAAAATAATTGCTATTCTTCTCAAAATTTAATTGCTCTATCTTCTCCTGGAGCATTCTTAGTTCAGCTTCTTTCTTTGTTATTTCTTCACCTTTACTCGTGAGGTACTTATTTAACTATAGATATAGATTTTGACTTGGGAGCTTTATTTTGATTTAATAGATTCTCTGCTTGAGTTGGGAGATGATAATATATTTACTCCTTCTCTATCAGCCCCAGTAACATCCTCCATTAAAGCCTTGAAGTTTTGATTTTTAAACAAATTGCTCTTTAAGCAATAGTAGACTAGGCTTCTAAGAAGGTGATATAATGAGAGCTTACCTTCAAGTTTCCTTCTTTTCAATAGTAATTTTATTAAGATTCTCAATAATATCCCTTTTTATTTCTTCTTCGATTTTGAGATTTCGAAGTTGTTGGTTGAGGAGATAGTAGTGTTGACTATTTTTAGTAGAGTTATATACCTAAAACGTTTATCTCCTTTCTTTATCCTAATCTGTCGAGAATTTAATTTATCATACTCATTCTATGCATTATTTTTATAAAAATTACTTGAAGCTGTGGCTTGTTGTTCTTCTTGAAATCTGCTCTGAGAGGCCTAACCTCTTCTTGATATTTCTCATTCTTCTCTTTCTCCTCTTGAAAATCTTTAAGCGGAGCATATTTTGTAGAAATTATGTCTTTTTCTTACTTCTTGTACTAATATTGGAGACATCTAATACATCACTCCTACCAAAATTACTCATTTTATCCGTAAAATGCTCTTTAGCAATCCTCAAGAACTCCAAAAACCCAATCTCAGCCTGTCCTCCCTCCCCAACACCATCCTGTGACACATCCTCCTCTGAAATCCTACTCCTCAATATACTCCTCTTGGACACCTTCTTACTCTTCCTCATCGAAGAATGTCCACTCATGATCTAAACCTAAACTCTCCTCCACTTACGCTTCTTTTAGAAGTGTTCTTCCTGACTAAAGCTTTTGGCTTACAGATAGTAGGCTGTCTGGTAATCCTAGCTGCGTTCATTTTATTTCTTATAAAATTATTTATTGAATTTACATATTAACTTCAGTGTTGATAGTCTCGCTAGGGGTTTTGGGGTTTTGGGGTTTTGGGG